AATATGTTGGTTAGGAAATTTCACATGTGTTCTGCTAATGTTAAAGTTCATCTGTTCAGAACATACTGTACACCGTTGTATACTGCCCCATTGTGGTGTAAATATAAGGTAGCTACTTTACAGAAACTTAAAGTTGCTTATAATGATGCCTTGAGGATTCTGCTTAAGAAGCCTAGGTCCACCAGCGCCAGTCTGTTGTGTTCACAGGTCCATGTTAGTACCTTTCAGGCATTAATGAGAAACCTGAAGTACAGATTTATCTGTCGTGTGAATAACTCTGAGAATAGTCTTATAATGATGCTGGCTAATCCTGGTTTTAGTGTAGTACGTTACCAATCCTCTCTGTGGAAACATTGGTATAAATGTCTTCTATGATTTTTATTTTTTTTCTTCTTTTATATCCTTTCTTTTTTTTCTTTTTTTTCTTTTTTGTATGGACCTTGAGTCTGCTAATAAAGGATGATGATGATGATGATGATGATGAAGACCATCAACAACCACCGAGATGTGTGTTGTTTTTGTTGACCAAGAATAAAACCGAGGAGACTGACTACATTATATGCCTCATTCTGTTTGTTCTGTCCCTCGTCCAGCCTTCAGCTCCAGTGTTGTAGTCAGAGCCAGTCAGGTTTTTATGCTTGAGAAAATGATGACTCATCGCTGTGCTTCAGATTACACTTTACTTCCTCTCATTAGCCCAGAGGGGTTGCTACATCATGCACTCAATGAGATGTCACTCACAGCATCTCAATCACCACTGAATGAATTTTAATGAAGTAGAGAAATGATGCCTCTACCCACTGTGTGCTGGTATTCTCGGGCATGGTCTGTGGGGGAGCCGCTTAATTACATATCAAAACATTTGCTACTAAATGGCCCAGAGGGGGTTACTGCTGCTTTCTGATACAGAAAGTCAGAGCTCGTCTCTGTCTGCAATGTTCAGCTTTCACTTTAACCAGTAAAAATGTCTCTAGCACGATCGAAAATCTTGTCTGTCTGCAGCGGTATCCAGCAGAGGTGACGGACCTGATCAGTGAGGGCGAGATCGGCAGTGGCACCTGTGGACAGGTCCTCAAAGTGCGGTTCAAGAAGACAAGTCATGTCATTGCTGTCAAAGTAAGACATTGAATGTTCATGCAACCAGTTGTATGCTGTCATAGGCCAGTGTACACAGGATCTAACCCCTCACATACACAACAAACAAGGTTTTTTATGATGGTAGTTGGTAACAGAGAGACCAGGATTGATTTTGACAGGTAGCCAGGACCACTTGAATTGCCCTCTTTAGTATGAGAAGTGTGTGGGTTGGTAATGACTTGTTGGCTTATTTTTCTGATATGCTTGCCAAAAGAGCAGAACTATTTCAAACAAAACTTTCCTACAGGGACCATATGATGTGAAGTAAACTCTCAAACTGCAGTTGGTGTAATTGGGATACAAAAGGAGCCTGATGCTCACCCAGCTTAGTTCCACTCTCTCATTATCTGTTGTGCTTTAATTGTGACAGTGGCAGTAGTACCCCAACATAACAACCCTCCAATTTAAGAGATGACTTAATTGTAGCCGCCCATGCTGTTTAACAATTAGGTAGTCAGTCAGTTCACCAGAGGAGTCTTTGCTTTGTGATTAGCTAATGGTTTGTTTCTGTGCACACACAGAGCGTGGGGTGTGTTTCATACACGCTGTCAGGAATCTTCTAATAATGTCTGATATTATTGTGTTTGTGTGTGTGTGTGTGTGTGTGTGTGTGTCACCAGCAAATGCGCCGCACAGGAAACAAGGATGAGAACAAGAGGATCCTGATGGACCTCGATGTGGTCTTGAAGAGTCACGATTGCCCTTACATCATTCAGTGCTACGGCGCTATTGTTACCAACGTGGGTGTCCCCCAAAATACATTGTCTGTATTTATATCAGTAAAACAGTAGATGAGTAGTCATCTGAGTACTTTCATAGCTAAAGTCATTCAAACTGCAGAGTGAGGTTGAATTTTACATTTGCACTAAATGCGAGTGCTTTTACACTTATATTTCAGTAAACTCCTTTCCTAAAGTGGCAAAAACTGATGTGTTGTTTGTATGTATCTACAGACAGATGTATTCATTGCCATGGAGCTGATGGGAACGTGTGCTGAGAAGCTGAAGAAGAGAATCCAGGGGCCCATTCCAGAGCGAATCCTAGGAAAGATGACAGTGGCAGTAAGTGGAAGAAGCCCACAGACAGGAGAGTTTAATCCTGCTCACTTGAATGATATGTTCTTATAGTCTGACTGTTTGTGTTTGTTCCTGCTCCAGATAGTGAAAGCGTTGCTGTACCTAAAAGAGAAACACGGTGTCATCCACCGGGATGTCAAGCCCTCCAACATCCTCCTGGACGATAAAGGTCAGATCAAACTGTGCGACTTTGGCATCAGCGGGCGCCTCGTCGACTCAAAGGCCAAGACCCGCAGTGCTGGCTGCGCTGCCTACATGGCGGTGAGTGGAAACCCACAGACACACACTGTAGGCACTAACTACTGCAGGCTCACACACAGTTACTAGTCAGTCATCTGGAAACATAATAAAATGTTTGTATTTGTAGCCTTACAAATGTGTATATATATATATATTCATTCGATACAAAAAATGTGAATAAACACAGGCGCCATCTTAAATTCCGATTTACATATGGTTTACTAAACAGTGGTGCCTGTTTGTGTGTCCCTGCAGCCCGAAAGAATAGACCCTCCAGATCCCACCAAACCTGACTATGACATCCGAGCAGACGTGTGGAGCCTCGGCATCTCTCTGGTAAAACAGATACCAATTTATATCCATATATAAAACAAGCGTTAGCCTGTGGTGCTACAAGATTTTACACAACTTGAGGATTTTTTTTGTTGTTGTTTTTGTGAACCAGTAACTGTTTGCTATTTTTTTCTTTTAAAAAATACATCAGAATTACTTCTTTTTACCATTATTTGATTATCAAAAACAAAATGTAGATGCATATTATAGGTATGAAATGAATCTGTTGGTGGCATTTTGGAAAGTTTTTTTTTAGTGGTGCTTCTCAGGAGTTGATAAGAACACCAGTGTGAAAATTCATTATTGACCTTAAACTAGGAACTAAAGTACCGTGTTTCCAATAATTAATGAGAAAACAAAGGTTTAAGCATAAAAGTGAAAGTGAGAGTTAAATAGTTTTCTCAAACTAATGACGGAGCTTACTTGTTGACCATTCTAAAATAAATACATTTGTCTTTGGTTTTTTCACTGTAAAGATAAACGTGTGTTGTTGATGGCAGTGGATGTTAATGGGCCCTTGTGTGCTGTAGGTGGAGCTGGCCACGGGACAGTTTCCCTACCAGAACTGCACGACAGACTTTGAGTTGACCAAAGTGCTGCAGGAAGATCCTCCCCTGCTGCCTCTCAGCATGGGCTTCTCCCTTGACTTCCAGTCCTTTGTCAAAGACTGGTGAGTTCAAGTCTCACTCTAAAGCTGATTATTTTAAAATTCATTCATTGCAGCCTTACTTGATGTGCACGTCTTTCCACAGCCTCACAAAGGATCACAGAAAAAGGCCAAAATATCACCAACTGTTGGTAAGTCCCCAGTCTTAATGAGCAATTTCCAGAAACAGTCGATGTTCAAAGGTACGTAAACTAAACCCTCTCTGTCTGTCTCGTCCAGGAGCATAGTTTCATCCGGCGTTACGAGGTGCTGGAGGTGGACGTGGCCGGTTGGTTTCAGACGGTTATGGATCGTACGGAGTCGCCTCGCAGCAGCCAGTGTTACAGCCATCAGCACCAGCTCCACTCACTCTTCAGTAGGTAGCCTAGCTTAGCCCAGGCTGACGTTAGCTTAGCCTCACGCTAGCCTAGCCTAGCTTTAGCTTTCCCAAGCTTAGTCTAGCCCAGCGTCAGCAACTAAGTCTAGCGTTAGAGCCAACCCACCTGTCTATCTCTCCACTGGAGAACCTGGAGAGCCTGAAGAAGAGGTGGAGGCTTGATGGAGAACTCTGGATGGACAGATGGAGTGAGGGATGGAGAGATGGACTTATGGATGGATGACAGGTGGTTCTGTTTATCAGTGTGTTGACTCTGGACAGGCAGACACAGAGAGGAGGGCACAGAAAAAGGTGCACACTGTAGTTAGCCTCTTTTGTTTACACTGTTCCATCCTGTCACACTATCATACCACGTCACACGCACTTCAGTACAAACTGTGCGGATCTTGTATGTGTTTGTAGATTTTCCACCACTTTTCGTTAGTTTTTCATCGTCATGTCTGTCTCCAGCATTGATCCAAGCCGTTGGATCGGTCAACAGAGTAGTCACTACACACTGGAACAAAGCATCTGCTACATTAGCAAACACGAGTCGCTCTTGTACATAAACGTTATGGAGGACGCAACAACGTCCAGTGCAATTATGATTCTTCAGGTGTTTCTATTATCACACATTCTCAGGCTGTATCTCTGTGTGTTCATGTATGAGGAAGCATTCCGGTGTGTGTGTGTGTGTGTGTGTGTGTGTGTTAGTTAATATCAAGACACAGTCACTGGTTGTTTTTATATGTGAGAATTTTCTTCCTAGTCATTTATTCTCCATCACACTACAACTCTAACACCGAGACAAGAACAATGAATCTGTTGGCTTCATTTTTACCATGTAAGGATAGGAATTGTCATTAACTCTGCTAAGAAATATGTTTAGAATATCCATCGTTGTATTTAGCAGCTACATAATTGGAAAAACACAAGAAAAAAGAATTACAAAAAAATTAGTGTTGCGTTCTAGTTTTATAGAAAAGGAGGTGTTTATGGTTTTGTTGTTGTGGATTCAGACTTGGTTGAACCAGAGCGTTAGAAGATACAGAGGGATACTGTGAACAGAAAGGAGGAGATGACGGGCATCATGGACTCTTTCTAGACATCTGGTGGAGATAAACAGAGAAAGTAGAAGAAGGGAGTCATTTGAACAGAGCGGAGGGCTGAAGAAGCTCCGTTCCAAAAACAAACAGTCTTGTACAAAGATTATAAAAGGGGTAGATCTTATTACCTGTGGGGCTTCTCTTTACCTTACTGTATGTGGCTACCTCTTCCTCTTTGGCCACCTCTGTCGCCCTCTGCTGTTTAGTGCGTTGTAGTGCTCCACTGTGTTTCCAGACCAAAGGCACCATGTGGGCTGCTGTTGGTGGAGACCAGGAGGTCTAGACCTGCACCTAATGAAGTTCCAGACAAATTTTGATATAGCATGTTTTGTTGTTGTTTTTTAGAGCCTAGAGAAGGGGTCTCAAACAGCTGGTGTGGGGGCCCAAAACATCGCAAGGCTCACAAGGTGTTTAAAGTTCACTGTTAAATCACACCCACAGAACAGTTTGCTTTATACTGGCATTGAGTGCTTATCAAAAATGAAGCAGAATAATTTATTACCAATCAAGTAATCATGCCTACCTACAGAGCCCAAGAGTAGGTAGATTTAGCAAAGCGTATGTGATACCAACATGTCTTTTTCAGCTTCAAGGATCCTTGACAATTAATTATTCTTTGTGGAGTCATTGTGACTGTTTCCTGTCTCAGCTGCAGGAACACAGCCACTCTCCTCCTTGAATACAATCTGAAGCAGCACTAGTCCACTTAACACTGTCTTGGACCTGGTGAACAATGAAGGAAAGTTACTTAGCTCCAGAGTGTGTACAGTGAAAATCTGAACAATATTTATACAGCCCCACTGAGAGAGAACTTGGCCTGTGGCCCCCAGGTGATATGACTTTGAGACCCCTGACCTAGAGGATTGTTGAGATAAAGCTGTGTGTCAGGCCGGAAGCACCAGGCGCCACCGGTTAACATGTTTGAAGCTGTGATCGATAGGTGTACTTAATGTGTGCAGGTCCGCAGGGGCTGACTGGTTCGTCTGTTATGATTGTCCTAACACCGGAGGCACACTGTTGCAGGGACACAGCCAAAGCGTGGTAGATGTGCACACTCAAACCTTCTGCACCCCGTCACACACCGAACCAAATCACCGCTAGACCCATTGAACTGAGGAGTGGTGACGATAAGAGAGAGGGAACTGTTAAGTGTCAGTGAGCGAGAGACCCAGGGATGTTGTCAAGACGGCTGAAAAGATGAGTGGAACCGAAAGAGAAAGGAGAGGAGTGGACAGAGTTAGGTGAGAAGAAAGATGGAGCTTTAAGAAAGTGTGAGTGGAAGTTAAAGACAAGTCAGAGACGAAGTTGGGATGACAGGAAGTAAACGTGCTGGTTGTAAAAAGCTTTCATGGTGTTTCACCAACCTATCAGTGAGTTAGTGTTGTGTTTATGGTGTTAATATTCTGTTCAGACTATGCTATTTATTGCTATTGCTGCTGCTTTTCATTGCTTTAGACGCTGCTGCCACTTCTTTTCCCCAAAGGACAAAAACAGTCTTTTTTTCTTTTAAACCAAATAAGTGAAATAATGCAATGTTACCAAATACAGAAGAGCAAGTGTGAAGAGGGCACAAGAAAGTGAGAGGTGATTAGAAGAGAGAGTGCGGGAAGGTTGGCTTCACAATACGTACTAACTCACACATTATAAACACACACCTCAAACGTAGCTCTATGTGTAATGGAAGCAGGTACTCCTTAATATACCGTGGTCACACTACAACTCTGTACAGTGTAGATATGATCAGAGGAGACGTCTGTCTGTCCAGAGGCTGTATTTCACACTGTCCATCCATCCCTCTGTTTGTCCACAGGTCACCTGCAAGCTTAACAACCTTGACAGTTCACACCAAAGGTGTCCGCAACTCAACAAAAACACAAAAGAGCATTGTTGTTATTGTTATGGTTATTGTTATTGACATTATAATTGATTACTCTCAGCTATGATATATATGAAATCTCTGTATAGTCTACGGCAATGGGCGTGTGTGTCGTGGGGTGCTGTAATACATATAGCAGTGCCATGTGTGTTATATACCGAACAGGGGAGACTGGTGCACTAACACACGGCAACGGCCGAGCAGTACAGCCAGCTGGCTCATCTCTCTGCTCAGTGACATTGTGGGCCTGTGTCAGGGAGGGAGGACGTCCAGCTGTGGGCTCCCTGGCTTCACTGAGCCACTGAACATCATCAGTCCTGGAGAACCAGTAACACACCTGCCTCAGTTAACTCTCGTGCTTATCCAGCTAGATGCCGTTCTTAATCACAGACTTATCAGCTGTAGCCTCAACAAACCGCGGACAGACTGAGGACCAGTCCTTGTGATGGGGGGGGGAACAGTTGAACCTTGCCTAAAAATGGTGGGGTGCCCCTTTAGATGCAGTGGGTTTTGAGTGTAAAAGTTAGCATTTTTAGTTTGTAGCTACTGTATAATGGTCATTCATTCGCTTTGCAGTGTATAGCCTCTGTGTGGAACCCAAAGCAGACACATGGTTGTGCAAACGACTGTTTGACATAGTTGTCATTTTACTTGCTTATTAAGAATATTGTTTAAGTTACTGTAAACTCTGTACTTGCATCCCTGTCAGACAGCCATTCTGAACGATGACTCCAGTTTCCTAGCGTTCTCCAGTGACTGGTCAGTATGCTGTTGACAGGGTTTGATCAGATCTAATAGAAATGATCTGGCTTCATGATACCAGGAAACCTGAACTGAGCCCACAGGTAGCGCGTGTTGCTTCGTGACACAGGCCCATGAGCAGATGTGACGGTGAGCTGGCACAACTCTGTTAGCTCAGCCTTTGTCAGTGAGCTGGCACAACTCTGTTAGCTCAGCCTTTGTCAGTGAGCTGGCACAACTCTGTTAGCTCAGCCTTTGTCAGTTTCTAATCCTGAGACTAGAGTGTGACCGAGAACTGATCCGAAGCCACAGGTCACCTCCTGTCAACTCTCCAAATGATGGGATACAGGGCTGATCGTGACCTGACTGCTCAGCCTCCCTGTTGTATATAAACCTGGATCTGGTGCTTAGCACCCGTCAGCTGTGCTGCATTGCCAGCGCAGCCTGAGGTGTATCATTGGTGCACTTTCAACCCCAGTCTCTGTAGGAGACGGTGCAGCCCGCCCTCACTAACCCTGTGTGTCTGTCACAGCTAACTTATGTCTGAACACAAAGCTGGACCCAGTCTCCCACTGTCAAGCACACACTCGTTCGTCTGTGCTGTCAGCGTGCATTTCCATCCAGATGCCTGATTGGGTGACGGTGCCACGCTTCACCTGTGTTGTGTGTGGAAACAAAACACCTGATTACACACACACACACACACACACACACACACACACACTCCCACACACACACACACACACACACACACAAACCAAATATACAAAGTTATCCCATTCTACACAGCAGTGCTGGCTACTGACAGTAAGTGGCTCTATGTGTATATCAGCTCTCCAGGTGTGAGGCCAGCAGTGTATAAAAACTGTTCATAGTATGTACCTGCGCTGTGCCTTGGCACTGAGCGTGTGTGTGTGCGTGTGTGTCGTAACCCCATCTGTAAGTAAACCAAATATCATTTTCACTATGCAGTCATTCAAACCATGTCAGCTTGCTTCGATGGGAAAAGCCTCCTGTAGCCTACACACTCGGATAAACAGGAGCCAGTCACAGTCTGTTTTTTCTTTTGGAGACCATGCCCACCCACCCCCCTCCACCTCAGTGTGACTAACGTCACCGCCTTCAGCTCGTTCGCAGAGAAAGCTGAGCGAGAGATGTGTTTTGAATGAGCTGACAAATATTTAAGGATTGTATTGGGACTGGGGAGGGACACGGGTTAGACTGGGGATTGTAGTTTATGGGAGATACAGATCAATGCTGTAAGTATATCAACTGCATGTTATTGTCACCGCTGTAACTGCCATTGTTTTAATTTTTGTTTTCTTCCAAGACAACGGTCAGTTGGGGTGGGGATGCACAAAACTTTATCCTTATTTATGATTTTTACACATATACTCTGTATTTTTGTTTTTGTGAAAATGTTGAATTTATTGTGTACTTAGGACACACTCTGTCAACTTTGCAATACACGTTCTCACTTTGGACCCATCGGCGGTCGTGGAGGAGGAGCTGTATGTTTGTTAGCAGACTGTGTTTGATAGACAGATGTCCTGTTTCCCCTCAGTCACGTGCGGGGTGTCTTTCTTTTCAGTTAGCATGAGCGAGCGGAGAGTGTGTGCGAGTGTGTGTTTATTGGTCTACCAAAAGTTTTTATTGATGGTGATTATTCTTCTTCTTATTAGCTTTTTATTTTTGTTTATTTTTTATTATTATAATTACCACGATTACTGTTTTTATGGTTATTGTTGTTGTTATTATTATTCAGGGCAAAGATGACACCAAATTGAACAAAGACATGAATGGGTGATCCCAGACAGACCGCGCTGAGAACGTCTTGTTTTTTTTACTGGTGAGGTGGAGCCGCTGTAGTGTATGTCCACCTTATGTAAACCGCCACATAAAGCTAACCTCTGAACTGAAAGTTTAATAGTATTTTTTATTATTGTTGTTGTTATTATTATATATTGTTTTCCTTTGATCAGATATCATGATCAGTTTATTTCTTGTTATCCCAGTTTGGGTCATAAATTGTGTGCTGTTTTTCTCCCCTTCTTCATCCCTGCCCACTACTTTTGAATTAAATTTTTTATGCTGTTTTATTTTATGATTATTATTATTATTTTGAATTCTTTCTGGTTTGTCTGATGCTGTAGCAGTGAGCTGATTGGTCAATTACCAGAGGGTTGTTGTTGTTGTTGTTGTTTTTCTAATGCTGAGACTGTCGTGACTGATGTTGCACTTGTGATGGGTTTTATTTTTGTTTTGTTTTGTGTTGCAGATTTGGGATTGTTGTGCAGAGATGAGAATATTGGGTGTTTTCCTTATTTTCTTAAAGTCACAGCAGTTATTTTATCAATCATATAGATCTGTGACACAGAGCAAGAAAATGATTCAACAGTGTATTTTTTTCACTGATATTTATTTATTGTTCATTTGTATGTATGTTTATGTTTTTTATGTGTATTGCTTTTTTTGTGGAGGGCAAACAGGACACAAGGTAGAGGAGTTGTCGGTCATTGGTATTTTACCGTTGTGTACAGAAAGCAGAGTATTGTAATCAGTCACCACGCTAATGTCTGTAAAGGAACAGATCGAAATAGAAACTGACAGCACAGTCAGGTGCACCGTTACTGTGACTGTCAGATCCACTGACATCCATAATTTTGTTTGCTGTTTACCCTCTCAGATGACCCTGACAAACAAACCGTTCATAGTTTAAAGCCACAGCACGGTGTATTTGAGCTCGAGTGCTTTGCTAATAACCCCCAGTCAAACCTGGAGGGTTTTTTTAAACTGATAAGAACTGAATGCCAGCTATGAAGCAAACTAGATTTATGTTTTAAGTTTTAGGTATTTCAGCTGATGATAACTATGATAGTGTGCTGATTGGCTTGTTATTGTGTTACTGAGCTGCACTCCTTGTTATCAAGGTGGGTCACACCTGCTTTGAGGTGTTGGTTTTTCTAAGTGCAGCTCTCAGTGTAGCTTGCATGAGTTTGCAGGGTGAGGAGGGACGGATTGACTTCAGTCACCGCTGTTGCAGTTCAAAGGCTTCTTGTATGTACGACACCACAGATATATTGTCTTGACAGCTGTATCGGTAGATACAGCTTTACTGCCTGATTCTTTTTTGTTTTGTTTTTGGCTACATTTTATTTCCCCCTGAGTCTCATTTCAAACAGAATAAATGCCATTATATTGTGAATACCTCAGGATTTTTTTGGAGAAAAAATAATAAAACACTTAAAATTGAAATGAATAAATAAACACTCATAAAAAGTTTGTTGTATGGTGGATTTCTTTGTTTGGCCCAGCAGCATGTGCCTTATTTTGTTCAGCTCTAAAATGCTCTTCAGGTTCTCTTCAGGTTGTGGACATGCTTGTAATTTCCACTCTTGTCCACAGGAGGGAGCGCTATTCTTTCAGCATTAGGCTTTAAACTTGAGGCTTCACTGTGCCATATCGCAACCCTTTTTAAATCTGACATCTTCACAGTTGTGGGACTTTACTTCAAACAATCCTTAAAGTGTTTCAGTGTGGCAGTGTCTGATCTAAGGAGTTGATTTGGACAAGCAGTTGTGTTTGTGAGCATAAGTCACTGAACTTCCACCTGTGTCTACAGGTAAGCTGTAACACTTCAGGTGAAATCAGCCCTCTGTTTAATGCAGGAAGGCTGATGTGCTCAAACACATTAAACTTCCACGTAGACCATCTCTGACAACAGTCGGCTCCGTCTCTTCTTGCTACAGCCTCTTCATCTCTCCCCCTCAGTGCAATTCACCGCAGCTTCCTTCATGGCAAGACAAGACATGACTCTGCTTTTACTCCTAGTTGAGAGCTTACACAACAACAGAAACTAACTATAAGCACTTTTTTCTGGTGTGCTGGTGTGTTTACTGTGCTGAAATAAATCGGACAGTGATCACTTTTCACTAAGGCCGTTATGCGGGGTGTGAGCGTGAGCTTCCCTGTCCTGAAGCGAGCTGCAGGAAGCCGCGTTATGTGTGAGGTAGTGTTACAAAAGACTGTACCCTGTGGCTGCAAAAATGAACCAACAGGATGATGACTGCATACAGCTCTGGATCAAATTTTAACAAGCTAGTTTTCACAGCTTGCACATGGACACACTGTAACTCGGTACACTAACAGAAGCTAGACACACTGGATCTGATCAAAATTAGTCATATGTTTTACTGGTTGTTACTTTTGCTGGATGTTTGAATGATGTTTGTTCACATTCCTGTGCTAAATAAAACACTTCTTTATGCTCATCCTTAAATCTGGCCTAAAGATGTGTATGTAGAAGCATGATAGCATGATAGCATGATTCTGTGACTTCAGTCAGAACCAATATGCAACCAAAATTGGTGTCTCGGTGACACGCCCAGCAGTTAAACCTGGCATAGTCAATAATTAGATATAATTCTAAGAATTTTCTAACTTATTCATCGACCTTATTAGACACAAGTCATCAGATATCTTTGCTAGTAACAGTGTGGAGTGTTTTTTTTCCACGTTCATTATAATGTGTGTTATTGAAATGACCTTTCAAAAACAGACTAAGAGAAATGCCAGATAAAACTAATAAAGTAAAAATAACACAGTTTCAATAAAGCAAAATAAAAGCATTAAAAATAGTGAGAGAAGTTCTAAAATAATGTGTTTTATGACAGAATGTGTCTGGTATTTTGCCCATTTGGTGTATATACAGTGAAGATATGGTGGCTGAGATACAGGAGCGATAGGTGTGTGACCTCACCAAGAGGTCATCTAATCTATTACATCTCTAAACTGCATCAGAGCCAGGATTAAATTAAGATGAACTAAAATTCATGTATACTGTGAAAAACACAGAGTTTATAATGCAGCCAGCAATGTGTATCCCTGTTGTTTCATTCATGCTGCGACACGTCACCCCTACGTTTCTGTCAGTCCATCTTTGATCTGTGACTGAGTTGAACAGGAGGGCCGGGGCTCAGGTAATGACAGGGTTTGAAAAGAAACTCAAGACCCAACAGTCGACCACACCTCCCTCCACCGCTGTGCTCTGAAGCCCTCTCTCCCTGCTGGAGATTGTCTCCTCTCTCTGACCATATAAGGTAGGAAATTAAACCAAAAGCTCATTGGTGGATGAGCTGCAGGTAGCCATTTCCCCTTCTTTGGGATGTATTGTTGTAAGGTAGCCTGCTTAAATCACTTCTTTCACTCCATGTATATTTTGTTGTCAGATGAATCTAAGTCTTTAATTTGAGCACATCCCATGCAGCAGTCTGCTTTGTTCTCTTTATATTTGTTTCTCCACAGACGGTTGTGTTAGATTTCCACCTCAGACACATGAGCAGTGCCACACCCCTGCTCTTGTTGCAAATACAGACATTCCTATACACGCGCGCACACACACTCCCAACACTATTTGACCAGATACTAACCTATGTACTACAATAATTACCTACTCCTGTGCAACAATCAAAACATCTCAGCATATAAATGCTTAGTTTGCTCCTACTTGCTTTACTGTTTCTATACAGGTGAAGGTGTTTAATTTTTATTTTTAAATTCTTTTAAAATAGGAGTGGAATGGTTTACAGTATGTTACCATTTTTATTCATTGTATTGGGTTTATCAGCACATAAATGTAGAGGCAAGGTTTTTTATATCTGGAAGTAACACTATGAAAATGAGAGATCCATGTAAGCTGTAGCAGGTCAGAAAATAGCTGCAAAACACTAAGAAATGTTCATTACAAATCGCCCTAGCCAGAGGTGAAATAGACTTCTTGTCTTGTCTGACCAACAGTTCCAACCCTAGAGATTATAATTCTGTAGTGTTATGTAAAACCGAGAAAAGCAGCAGATCACCTGTTTAAGAAACTGGAAACATTAAATAAGTTTGGTGTCATATGACTAAACAGGTGAGTCGACCAGTTACAGCTCCAATTCTGAAGTGTAGAACAGGAGATGGGCATTTTGGATGGCAGAACTTTATTGATCTGTCTTAATTGGCTTTACCGCCATCAGTGTTGACACAGTGGGCACGGTCTGTCCAGTTCGTTGCCATAAAACCACGGGCACGCAGCAAGATACATGCATCATCTAATAAACTAGCACAAACATTTCTGTATAATATCAGATGAAGTTACTTTATATAAACAGTTTATATAGTATAAACCTCATTTAATACAATTCCTCTACATATGCTCCGTTAGAATTTTTATTTTTTATTTTTTTATTAACACAGGTGCTATAAGACACTCAAAGTACTGATCGTCTGCTATATTGGACTCAGAAGCACATGCAGTGACGCCTTTTAAACCCAGGATTTAACTTGGAGCTCTTGAATGCAGCATGCACCGCGGTGGGGGGTGGGGGCTTTAAATCACCTGCGAAACGTAAAACTGGGCGTATCAAAGGTGCAGAGCGTCCGTCCTCCTGAGCAGCTGGACCACATGACAGCAGCTCAGCTCAGCTGAAGACAAGAGGAAGAGAAGAGGGTTTTTCCTGAGCAGCTTCTTGTTTTGTGAACAAGTGCCGTCGAGCAGGACGAGCGCGGACACAGAGAGGACCTGAGCTCACCTACAGTGCCTGCAGGCTGCAGCTGAAAACCCGGTGAGTCCTTGCTTTTTCTGCAGCTGGAGAGAAATGGGTGGCATTGTTTGCGTTTTCAGCAGATGAGAGTGATTATGAACTAAAACAATTCTAGAGTTCAGTGAAGAAAAGCGTCAATTTTGAGTTAGGCGTAACAGGTAGCGACCAGCTGGGTTTGAGAAATGCGGCGCACCTGGCCAGGTGCTCTCATCAGACTGGGGACGTCTCTGAAGTTGCGTATGCTCAATTATCACTGAATTGTCTCTAGTTTGGTTTATTTAACGCATACATAATGTACATTCACCGGCCTTTTTATTAGGTACACTTGTACAGTTGTTTGAATGTCAATGCAAAACGTCCGCCTTAACATCTGTTTTTATGAAGTTCAGTGTTTTTGGTGAAATTGTCAAATGAATAATAATGAATTGTTTATTACTGATGCCATAGTTAAAGGTGGGCACAAAACAAACGCACTCATCCTGTGGTGTGAAAATGAATGTTTTCATTTCAGGTGTTAGGCTTTTGCTAATGCCTGTTACAGTATATTTACCTAGTTTGGATCCTGCAGTGCAGTTAGTCTTGTTTGTCATGTGGTTTGCATGAGATGAGGGCTTTTTTTTAAAATTCAATAACACAAACTGAACACACCCTGCTGCTGTGTGTGTGTGTGTGTGTGTGTGTGTGTGTGTGTGTGTGTCTGCCCTCTGGATGCAAAATTGACATGCATCCCCTGCTTTGTTTCTGATGAGGGATCGTATCTGTTCAGTAAGCATAATGATAACTTGCTGGTCAGAATGTCTTCCTCTTTTGACTAAGCTCTGAAATGAACAGCACTTCTGCCATATCTGCAGAAGTACACTAAAACATATCATCCTGGCAGCCCATCTAATTCTACTCCCTCCCATAAATTTTTTTTTATGTCTCTTTTTTACGAGGTACAGCACCCCCCCCCCCCCCTTCCTCAAAGCTGGGATTGACTAGCAGCCAAGAGCAAGAGAGTGGAGATGCTTTTGAAAATGTGCACAAAAAGCCTTGGGCAGATAATAGGAATGCATCTGCAGTGAAAACTAAATCCAAAGTAAGGTTGGTGAGGGCATCTGTAGTGATTCTGTCTTCAGACATGGTTAAGCTAGTCTTTACATGTTGGATGAAATCCTCTTGGAAAAGTTCCCATCAAGACACTAAAGACTGTTCTTCACCCAGACCTCAGCAGAGGCTTGAAAGGATCCAATAGATATATTTCTTTTAGTTTTCCTTTTAATTATTGTTGCTTGTTGTGCATTCAACTGATGCAGAGAGGCCTTAGAGAGTGAAGCCGTCCATTTTGTCATTTTGAACCCCAGTGTGTCAAAATGTGCACGGACAGTGTTTGTGCAACTTCCTGAGGAAGTTGTCACATTCAGTAGTGACTGTCACAAGGCTTCACATGTAATCATTTTGTGGTTTATTAATTATGCATTCACTCCCCTATATACTTACTGAAAATGTATGATGCTCTTCCCTGGCCTTCGCATGCATTGGAGGATTTTAGTGCTACATGATAAAACCAGAAGAAATGCCAGTGTGTTGCTCTTCCTCCGCCACTGATCATTAGTAGGCTGAGCACATAATGAACTTTGGAGAGGCCCAGATGACGCGTTTTGCACTAATCCTTTTATCCCTGGCTCTAGAAACACATGCATTTCTTTATCTCTGCACACCTACGCTCTGCTGTTGTTTCGTCCTCTATCTGATTAGAGCTGCTAATGAACTAAATCTTCTACATAAACATTTCAAAACAAAAGGGAATCTTGACTTGGTTTTGATTTTGTCATTTTGAGGTGAACTTTCGTGCTTTCTTTTAATGTGTGGGGGGGGGCAGCTATGTGTGTTGGTAGGAACTCTCATCTTTTTAATATTAAACAGTTTATGCAGATTTGTGATAAACACAAGGGTCCCAATTGGCTGTCTTCAAATGTTAAATTTTTTTTAAAGGTGCTTTAACTAATCTTTTACACTCTGTCTGATAAGTGAAAATGGGGCAATACGTGGCATCTCCTTGCTATACAACCCCCCTCCATGTCAGTCTGTTGTTATTCCAGCTTCTCTACCCTGAGTTGACAAAAATGGTCTGTAAATTGGCCCTGCCTGCCACCTAGTGGCGTTTGGAGCTTCTTTTTTGTTTTTTTTTGTTTTTTTTAATCATGACTATAGTTGGAAATTAAATCTGCAACATTAGCTACCAGACTTGCTTGCTGCTTTGTTTTACTTTCACCTTCCCCCTCTGTAGAGCTGATGAAAATCAATAAATCCATAGGCTACATAAAATGAAATTTCTTCCTGACAAGCTTGGGCCCTACATGAAAACAGTTTTTGTCCAGTACATTTGTGCTGTTTGTCTGGTGAAGACCCTTACAACTGTTCTGATGACAGACACAGAACATGCCACTCACATCTTACTTTGTGTGGGTTCAGTTGGACTAAATTATCCATCCAGCGGAAAACCAGCAGTTTTGGCATCATTCTGGAAGCGTCTGTCCCTTATAGAGGATTTCCATCCAGGAAAGGCCACACCAGTGTTTATCGTCATCTTGTGCCGTTGCCTATGCCATTTCTTTGTGTCTGTGCTTCTTTGACAAGGGGGCTTCTCGCTGTCTTCCTTTTTCTTTTGTTAAAGTATAACTAGGATCCTTCATTTCTTTAAATTAGTTCCTAAACTGCTTCCTAGTTTCTAACATTACTTCATCATCATCCTCCAAGTGTCTCCAAATCCAAGCTGTTACTTCGACGTGAAAATGCAAAATTCATCCTCTAGAGCCAGTGTTTGGTTGATCCTTCTGGACTATTTTAACCCGTTTTGTTAATAAATAATAGATCTTACACACTGAACCTTTAACACTGTTTGAAACGAGCCTGTTTTTCTGTTTGAAATCAAGTTGTTTTAGTGATTACTTGCACTCCTGAATTTGCAAACTTTGCCTTTTTTTTTCTTTTTGTATGCATGTGGTGACACATGAAGGCTTGTCCTCTTAAAAACAAGATGATGGCCTCACACAGGGCTGTTTCTGTAAAGAGTAAATTAGTCCAAGATGCTGCTGGTGGAGGCAGAGTCCAGGTGATGGATTTTATCTTTGAGGGTATTTTTATATTTTCTAATGACACACTGCATCAGGGTGTGGTTGGGGAATAATGACATTTCTCTCTTTGCCCAGACTTGCATCCGACATTCCTTCTCACCTCTGTCTGCACAGCATCCCTTTATCACAGCTTTCAACAACCACAGGCTCTGAATACGCAGGTCCAGCACAATGTGTAACAGCTGCACATTTATTGCTGCTGGTGGAAATTGCAACTCTGAAGGGAATGTTGGATACTGAGCAGAGGGAGAAGGAGTTGAGAATTTGTGGAATTCTGTGTAATGAGCTGATGAGGAAGGCCAGACAGGGAATAATGGATAGACAGGGAGAGAAGGAGCCATATCATAGAGCTCGGGTAAAAATTGCTCTGGGGGGGCTTTTACCGCTTATTTTTGTGTTGAAGAGCTTTAGTGCACATTTATGTTTATAGGTCATAAGTGAAAGAATGTGTGTAATGTAATGGGGAAAAACAGCGGTTGCAGAGCCCAAACCTGTGCTGGGCCATAAACTTTGAAGACCGTTGTCACTGTATGTGTGGTTGTGACGGCTCACACTTCTCAGATAAATATTTCTGTGACAAGTTTGTCACATGTCAAAGCTAAACCTCATTATACAGCCGCAACACACACGAGTGACATTCTAGTTGCATGACGAGCAGTAAGAACAGTGACTGTAGTCAAGTTTCAGGACATGCAAAAGTAACTTGACATGCATGTCACTCCGGTGTTACTGAATTTTTTTTTTTTTCCCCCTCCCTCTGTCCATGTGTATGTAAATGGAGTGAGAGCAAAATATTTGCAGTATAGCCAACATTATAGGGAACCACAAAGTTAATCCAGCACCTGTGAACAGCTGAAAAATGCAGAGTTGAGGCACTGTGGAGCAATGGTTAGCACTGTCACCTCACAGCAAGAATGTTGAGCCTTGTGACCAACCAGGACCTTTCTTTGTGGCATTTGCATATTCTTCTGTTCCAGCGCTGGTTTCTCAAGTTCCTCTAGTAGTCTAAAGATATGCAGGTTAGGTTGACTGGTGACTAAAGTGTGTGTGTGTGTGTGTGTGTGTGTGTGTGCACACATGCAGACATGTGTCTGTCTCTCTTCTCTCTGTCAGCCCTGTGATGCTCGTGACCTGTTCAGGGTGTACCTCTCGCCCAATGTCAGCAGGGATGACATTGACCCCATAACCCCCTACATGATACGCAGTGTAGAGGCTGGATGGACACAGTTAATACAATACTAAGGCTGTGTATTCCTCTAAACCAGTGGTCCCCAACCTTTTTATCACTGCGGACCGGTCAACGCTTGACAATTTTACCGCGGCCCGGGGGGGGGGCTGTTATGGGGTGTACG